GAGCGGTTCCCGCGCCGAGGCTGCTCGTCTGGATAAAATTTGTCCTTCCTGATTGCGGAGCTGAGTCTGTGTTTCTGCCGGCCGCCCAAACGGGAAGCAGGAAAGCTGCCGGTTCACCCCGAAACAACCTCGCCACATCGCTGAGCGGAGGCTCACGCTAGCGGCCGCTGCAGCCCCTCCTGCACATCGTTTTTAGAGAAAATTGCAAAGTTTCCTCCTCGGAAAACGCAAGGTGCGGGTCAGTGGGAAGGTGTGAGTGGCCTCAGCCCAGCCAAGCCCGGACCACACGGCCCTGTGCTGCCTGGAAACCCTCGTGGCAGAAATGCCGCCGAGTGTTGATCTTTGCTCCTTCTCCCGTACTGTCCCAGCACGAACCCTCCTGTCTTTACTGTTTTCTTTTTTTTTCAGTTTTACGGCTGGAAAACCCTCACCCAGGGCCCGTTTGCCCCCGCTTCGGCAGAGCTCAGTCCAGCATGGGCTGCACCGAACCTGGCCACGGCTGAGGGCATCCCATCCGCTCCCACCTGACCATACCAAACCCCTCCAAAGACAAATAAATAATTGCTGGGGCAATTTTTTGGCGTCCTTGACCAAAGCGGTCCCCCAAGGACGAGCAGCACCATGTCCTGGGGATGCCCAGAGACGCACCATGATGCTACGGAGCACCTGGGAAATTTCTGAAGCTCCAGTTTGCAGGGAAAAGGAGTCAAAACTCCTTCCCTCCCGTTGCCCTCAGTCCGATAGCTCTGAAAAAGGAGACAAAATGGTCAGTTTGAGTCCTGGGTTTAGGGGCTTGTGACTTTAGGCATGTGGGATCAGGCTGGGCTACAGGATGAGCCTGGATGTGGATCTCCCCAGCCTGCGCTTTGCCCCCGGGTAATGTGAGGACCAACTAACGCAGAGCGGCCCCCCAAACTGGCCAGCTGACATTTATAAACCCAGCGGTGCTGCGAATCAACAACGTCCCGTGCAAACTGTCGTTATTCTGGTGCTGTAAACGTGAGATCTTGGTGGAAAACTGAATTCCTTCCCCTCATAATCTACAGCTGCTTAACCAAAACCATAAAAACAAAGTTTATTGCAAGAAAATATTCCCAGTAACCTTGCATGCTCAGGAGACAGATGCCTCCTGAGCACCGGGGACTTGCTTTGTATCTGCTCTCCTTGCTGCCAACTTCTGCCGCTGGTGGAAACTTTATGGATCATTTATTCTCTCCTTCCCAGGAGCAAAATGCCAGCATGATGGAGTTTTCCTGGCTTGCCGTTCGCGAGATGCTAATTGCCTGCCCGTAACTGTCAATGATGGATGGCTGTGCATCTCCGATCACTCCCGAACTGAGCTGGGGGATAGCCAGGGACCAGCTCTCTGCAGGCTGGAGCGAAGGTGCAGGGTGCTGGCCCTCAGGACCCTACAGGGCAGGAGGTAGAAGGGGCAGATGCAGGATCAGGCTGCCACCCAAAACCGCCTATATGGATGGACCTGCACAGGCAGAGGAGAGCCGGCACCAAGCCCCGGGGTGAGCTCAACCCCACAGTAGACACCGGAGAATCCCCAGAGGGTGCCAAACCCTCCTCCTTGATCCCCCAGCCGACCCAGCCGCTGGAGCCATCGTCACGCTGGCAGGATTTTGCAATGACTTCCTGAGAAGCCTTCGCTGCATGGAGGATGAATCGAGCGTTTGAGTCACCCCAAGAGAAAGCCAGAGGATCCTGCACTTATGCTGCTGCGAGAAGCAGGGATTGGGTGGGGGGGGGGGGGGGTCTCGCCGGGGGGGG